CCCACCTCCATTGACTGAAATCTAAAAGAAGGCCACACACTTGGTTTAGCAAGAACCTTTACTAAACATGCATCCTCCAGACCAAAAACCACCTTCTCCACTCTATGGGACTTCATACTCTCAATTGCGCATATCAATGCTTTAAACTGAGCATCTTTTTTGTCCATCACCGAAACAAGAGCACAACGACTATGAAGCACCACATTGCCTTCATAGTCTCTTAAAACCCACGACGCCCCAGCCAATCTGTTTCTACTGGACCAAGAGACACCAACGTTACATTTCAACCACTCTTTAGGTGGTCTCTTCCACCTTTTCAACAAATGATCAGTTCCACAGTTTTGGGAAACCCGCCTTGGCTGATCATCACTACTCTCACCATTCTCATCCTCTTCCTCTACTACTTGCGCCTCTGCCCATTCTTTCCAATCCTCACAGCTTTTTTGAACAGTTTCTATTGGAGAGAATGTTTTGGCTTCAAAGGATACCAAGTTCCTATTCTTCCAAATCCGCCAAAGAGTCCATGGAAACGTTCTTTTAAACTCTTCAGGCCAGTTGACATTCCTTTGGTTCTGCAACAGATAATAAACATTTGAAAAAACAGAACCATTTTGAAAGCCTTCCACAGGAGAAGGAATTCCAGAGAGCGCCCAAACTTGTCTAGCCCATGAACAAGTGAAGAGAACATGGTTTATGGATTCATCTTCCTCTCCACAGATTTGACACAGATTGTCAGTCCTCATACCTCTAGAAATCAAGGCAGTAGCCACCGGTAATGCTCCACTAAGTATCTTCCACAAAAAGACCTTAATCTTTGGATCAGTTTGGAGATCCCAGACTTGGGCCTTGACCGGGTTAAGAGAAGGTAACCTATTAGCCTCTTCTCGAGTCGTTTGGTTTGAAGACAAGGCTGCTAGCCAATACGCGGATTTGACTGAGAATTCGCCACTCTTGTTATGTCTCCATGAGTAAAAATCTTCACTCTCTACAACCGGTTTGATCTTCTTTATTCTTATGATATCAGCCGGCAGAAAGTGATACTCTAGAGCCTCTTCATCCCAATCTCTCTTATCTCTATCAATCAGCTCTGAAATTCTAAGGTCTGGGTTGAAATAATTATTTCTCCTCCAAGGAGGCCTCATTAGCCCATCTTCTAACCAAGCATCAATCCAAACCTTAAAAGACTTTCCATTCCCAATATTCTTCACCAACCCTTGAACAAGCAGTTCTCTACCTTGCAAAATGCTTCTCCAAGCATAAGATGGTCTGGCTCCTAAGGTTGCATTTAAGAAATCAGAGTACGGGAAGTATCTACTCTTCATTAACTGAGAGAACAAACACTCAGGGTTCTGTAGAATTCTCCAAGCCTGCTTAGCTAGAAGAGCCTGATTAAATGTTTTTATGTCTCTAAAGCCCAATCCACCTTGCTTCTTAGAAAGACATAGCTTCTCCCAACTTAGCCAGTGAATTTTCCTAGCATGTTCTTCATTACTCCACCAAAAAGCTGCCATTGCACTTGCTAGATTTTCACAAGTAGTTTTGGGAAGTTTGAAACATGACATCACAAACACTGGCATTGCAAGAGCCACAGACTTCAGCAGAACCTCTTTACCTCCCTGGGACAGAAACCGAGTAAACCAACCTGATAGCTTTGATTTGAGTCTATCTTTTATGTAACTCAGGAGTTCCACCTTAGACCCACTAAAACACTCTGGCATACCTAAGTAGGTTCCTGCTCCACCCTCTTTGAAGATACCCATCTTATTTTGAATCTCTGTCTTCACCAGAGTATTTACCCTCGACCCAAAAGTTATGGACGACTTGGTTAGGTTGATCGATTGCCCAGTAGCCTCTCCATATTTGAGTAAAGTATCTTGCAGAAAACTACATTGATCCAAAGATGCCTTACACATAAAAAGACTGTCATCCGCAAACAGCAAATGATGAATTTCCGGCCCTTCTTCAATGAATTTAATCCCTTGCAGTTTTCCTTCTACTTGGCCTTTATTAAGCAAGTGGGTTAAACCTTCAGTACACAACACAAATAGAAAAGGAGATAAGGGGTCTCCTTGTCTCAAACCTCTTTGTGGAGTAATCATACCAAAAGGCTGGTCGTTTATGAGAACCGAGAAAGTTACAGAACTCACACAAGCCATGATCCAATCAACCCATCTGTTATGGAACCCCATGGCCACCAACAGAGCTCTCAAATAACTCCATTCCACTCTATCGTAAGCTTTAGACATATCTGTCTTAACTGCCATAAACTGGGAAGAGATGTCCAGATGAGAATTCAGACTTTGAACCGCTTCATGAGCCACTAAAATGTTGTCTGAAATCAATCTTTCAGACACAAATGCAGACTGGTTAATAGCTACAATCTGAGGGAACCATATCTGAATTCTACTAACTTGGAAATATATACTTTACATGAGATATTTCAAATTTCCCTATATTTAAATGTCCTACTGTACTTCTTGAGGGGGAAAAGAAAGTCATGCAAACTAATTGTTGATAATTGTAAACCACCAAATTAATAATTCGTATTAAAGGCTTATATTAAAGCTGACAGCGATGAAACTTGAATCTCTAGTCCTATTTAAATTTACAGTCTTTTTACGGTATACTCGATATATATAGATTTATTACATACGTAGAAATATGAGCTTTTAACTATGGTAGATTCTTAATTTTGTTTTAATTATGGTAGATATTTAAAACGCCAACAGGTTTAACTATATATATACAGATCGATTTTTTATCGGCACGTTATATATATATATATATATATAGTCACAACGAAGTTACATTATTAATATATTTCGTTTATGCACCCGAAAAGAAGCTAAGGTTCGTACTATTTACTATCTTGTTATTGGGTTCTCAAAGGTCAAATTCTGCGGCTAGTCAAATTCGGTGATATACCTTTTTTGGGGGTACATTGATGTCTCACTCAAAAAAACGTGTAGTTACGTATTTAGGATTTATTAGGAGTTCGATATAAATTACAAAACCAACATCTTCTCCTAATTTGTCTTGCATACATTTTTTTCAATTTTTTTTTTGTTATTATACAGGAATTAATGCATTGAATGGTGTATTAGGTAGATATTGTAAAGGTAAACTAAAATAATGAATACGAAGTACTTTACTTTTTTTTTAAACTAAATTTTTGGGGGAAAAGATGTTATACTTCTTTGCTCAAAAAAAAAAAAGATGTTATACTTCTAAATAAAATGCACAGTCTGTTTTAAATATGAATTTTAGTCAAAATGCCACATTTAACCAAAATTTTATTTAAATGCCATAAAACAAACATTATATCAGAATATTATAAGTGTTGCCGATATTATACTGAGTAGAATGGAAGAAAATGTTCCTCTAACTTTTTTTTTTTGTCAACTGGTATTATATTGATTGGATTAAACGAAGGAATACAACACATAAAGACAGACACCACAAACCAGTGCTGCAACTTTACCCAAAAAACCTGCAACTACTACCTTAACCTTCTCTACAACACGAGACAGGTTTATACAAAAAATGTTCCTCTAACTAAATATGTGAAATTCAAAGATAAATTATCGGAAGAGACTGTCCAAGAAAAAGAAAAGCATATTGGAAGAGATGAGAAGCATAGGGGCTGGGGCTTGGTTCAAGATGTAAAGCCCATAAGTTCATGATTCATCGAGATAACATTACAGGTGTCCATCATCTAAAAAGTAGTAGAATTGTCCTTACATGTTAAGAGTTCAACAACTACTAAACTAAGCTTTCATAAAATGTGTGAAAAGTAAGTTACACTTCATGTATCTCTTGGTAGGAGATTTAAAAGAAATAATTATTATCCTCAATGCTCTAAGCTTTTCTAAATTCTATAAGCAGTTTTCTAAATATAACTAAAAAAATAGGCTAGTTTGTAAAATGACACTTAGAATTTCCATTTTAAGTTGGACCATTTCTGCATGTGATAACAAATGACCCCTACTGATCTTATAAAAGTCGAACGGGCTAGTGTCTAGTTGAACAAAAATAAATTATTTATTTTTCTGTTCATCACATAACATATGGAATTTATTTATTTTACCAACAGACAACAATAGGTCTCTTTTAAAATGCTAATGTCTCACCATTGCGGTTCAACATTGTTGCTAAGGACATGTAAAATTGGTATAACTAATTAATGTCCTGGTTTGATATTGCTCGTACGTGTTGAATCAAAAATGGAGGCGTAAGCAAAATATCGGGTTTTATGAGATTGTGTTCCAGAATACTAATGAATTTGTTTCTTATCTCCATGTTTTCATCACTAAATCATCGGTCCAATGTTTAGAAGATGTACACCATGTTTTAGATATTGATAATTCTGCAAGTGCGCATATTATATTAAATCAACATACATCACAAGTTCATATTATTTCAAAACATAACAGAAAAAGCAGCTACCTTCAGAACCAGTGCCAAAGACTATATGAAATCACAATGGCCCTAATGGCTTTTTCCATCAAATGATAAGCAAATTCATGCAAAAGCCTTTCATTTGGTGTCACTGAAAAGTTAACTTAAACCCTAAAGAACATCAAGACTAAAAATCAGACTGTAATAGATAGTTTCGGTTGTTTATGCAGTGATCAAAAACTAGTCGTGAAATTAAATCAAAGAGCATGAAATTCTCATCTTGTAACCATCAAAATTCTCACCACCACTAAGCAAGAACGTAAGCAACATATCAAGGTCATAACTTTGAGCAGACATACAACATCAATGCAGTTTCAGATTCTAATCATCAAACCACGAGATATTTCAAACAATTTACACTCCAAAAGAAAGTGTAAATCATTTGAGCTAAACAAACGAAACCAGAGCAGAAGCAGAAATTGAATAGCGATGATAGAAAAGAACCATTGGGGATTCGAAACATAACACAATAATTCAAAACTTGAGTCATTCTAAGTGAAAGATGATAGCAGCTAAGTTCCCAAACAAAAACAAAATAGGGTAAAAGGATAGAAGATGAGATAACAAGAGCATTTCAAATTCCCATTGTTCCATTTTTTTTTTAATTCTCAGGAATATCGAGATCACCTTCTTGAATCTCCTGCTGAAGATCCTTGGGGTCTTTCCCATCAACAGTGCATCCCACAGAGACGCAGGTTCCAAGAATCTCCCTCACAGTCCCGCTCAGCTCCTTGGCGATAGATCTAGGCCTCATTATCCTAGCTATCTCAATCACATCATCGAATGAGATGTTACCATTGTGCTTAATGTTCTTCACCTTCTTCCTGTCTCTTTCTGGCTCCTTCAACGCCTTGATGACCAGGGCTGCAGCGGATGGCACCACTGTCACCTTAGCCTGACGATTCTGAACCGTCAGCTTCACGGTCACACGGAGTCCTTTCCATTCCTTCGCCGTCTCTTTCGCGATGTCTTCTCCGATCTTCTTAGGTGCGAGACCGAGGGGACCGATCTTTGGAGCTAAGGAACTGGCGGCTCCGACTTCTCCTCCGGTTACACGTACGTACACATCGACGATCTGGCTCGGGTCCAACTTCGGCGGCATGGTTCTGTGAATTCGAGTTTCGCTCTTCTTCTCGGTTCGATCCAAGTGGCTAAACGAAAAGAGGCTGCTGCGAAATGAGCTTTTAGGGTTTTTGAAGTAGAGGAACGTATTAAGTGGTCGAAATTAGGGTTTCTTTCGTTCCAATGCTAAATTACTAACTTGTCCTTTGATATGAAACGGCCCAGTCCACTATTATATGGGCTTCATAACTTTACCAATATATAAAGCCTGTTTTTAGTGTATCTTTTCGACTGAGCCCGTATCTACTTTAATAATCAAAATCTCGGTTCTATTACTGGTTTGATGTACAATTATTCGGTTTAGTAAAACCGTTTCATTTTCAACCCAGCAATTCAGGTTACTGTTGGGAGTGACGAAGGAGTTGAATCGAAAACTAGGAGAGGCAAAATCAAAATCCAAGCTTTCTAGGGTTTTACAGATCTGCGATTACCATTGTTCCAGGTACTTGTTTATTAGTCTAATTTGATTACCATTTTCACAACTTTCATGTATGTGTTATTGAGAGATTTAACAAGTTGCAGACTTTTTCTTTCAGTTTTGTTGAAATGTCGAGAAGAAAATCCACCGTCGTGTTGCCCCAACCCATACGTCGATCAGCAAGGCTTCTCTCTATGCAGAATCGAGATAGTCAAGTGAAACCCAGGAAAGATCTGGTCTCTTTCTCGGAGCCGTCGAAGAAAACTCGCCGGGAAGTCCTACGAGGACTATCTAAGAGATTAGTATACTTAGTGGATAGTCCAATCGAAGATTCGAATTCGAAAATATCTCCGAGATTGAACATTTCGATTGATGGGTTTCCGTCACTGAGGCGGTCTCTTAGGCTTTCAAGTAGGGAATGTTCCGGGGTCTTAAAAGAGAAGCCTTTTACGAAGCCTGCATTGACCTCATCGGCGACAATCACTGTTTCGTCTTCTGGTGCTCTGAGACGGTCTCCTAGGTTTTCGAGTGGAGGAGGAGGATCTGTGGATCAATCGTCTTCTTCCATTGGAAGAAAGTCTGGCGGTAGTGTTTTGAGTAGATGCAGTACCAAATCAATTTCATCTGAGAAAGGTAAAGGTGGAGATGGTGTCAAATCTAAGGATAGAAGTAGAAGTGGTCTTCGTCCAAAGACTAAGCAGTTGTTTGAAGGTTGTGCTGATAATGAAGAAGAAGAGGAAGAAGTTAGTCTTTGTCTTAGTGAGAGGAAAAGGACGAGAATTGCAAAGCCCAGTGAGGAAGTAAATGCTGTGCCTGAAGCTGATGAAGGGAAGAGAATATGGAAGGAGGAAGAAGAAGAAGATGAAGATGAAGGATTGAAGACAAAGAAGAAGCTAGAGAAAGGAGGATGGACAGAGGAGTTGGAGTTAGCTTTACAGGGAGCTTATTTGACAGTGAAGCCAAGTCCTAATTTCTGGAAAAAGGTTGCTAAGATGGTGCCTGGAAAATCCGCGCAGGAATGTTTTGATAAAGTGAACTCAGCCTTGATCACTCCTCGTCAACATCAGCCTCGAAGAGTCAGAAAAACAAACTTATCGACCATTCCGCAGTTTTCACTCTCTGCAAGCAAACTACTGAAACCCAATTCACCGAAGACTAAGATACGACAGCGCAGAAACAACCTCTCAAAGAAAACGGTCAGGCATCTACTGGAGAAGCAAAATCATATGGATCAAGGTAGTGGATTTGATCTCTTCTCAGTTCTTGAGCCTAGCATCTCAAGTAATTTTCTCTCAACTCCAATAGAGAAAGGGCCAAGTCTTCCGAAAATCCTTGAAAGTCCAGTGCCTTGTTCAAGTAAAGATCAAACAACTCTCGTTAGTCCTCCAGTACTGAAACAGGTAAAAAACAAGGCATTGCATGAGAGGTACATTGATCATCTGCATATTAGGGATGCTAAAAGAAAAGCAGAGTCTACTCGATTTGCTGGGAAAGAGAACATAAGACCTATTGAAATTCAGAAGAAGGATTCGGTTAGGGCAGCCAAAGATGCCCTTTTCTTTGATGTTCAAGAAGCAATCCAGAAGCTTAAGGGTCTGGAAGCTGATAACTCATCTAGTTCTTCAGAGTTTTGCTATGACCATGGTGATACTGACGAAGAAGATGAATCAATCTAGTTTCTAACTTGATATGTTTGATTGTACTAGGGCACAGAGCGTAGAGATTAGAGCAAGGCATTACTGTGAATCTTTGTTTGTAACCATGAGCGTGAAACTACTTGTATGAGTTTAGTTTAGTCAGATGTTGTATAAACGATAAAATCAATTATCTTTTCAATATGAAGTTCAAATTTTGGTTCCTCCCCATGAATGTTTTTTCATGAATTATAACTAAAAGCCAAAGGTGTTAAACTTCCTCGATTGAGTTACAAAACAAAGTGATTCTTAGACACAAGAACACTTGAGAGTTAAAGAGAAGTAGTAATTTACACAAGAATTTCCTCCCTCAGTGGAAATTTTTAGTTTACCCTCCTAACCAAAAGTTTAGAGATCATCAAAATCAGTTTCCTTCCTTAAGTAAGATACATCTTAAATCTCCTGACATCAAGTATTGATAGTTATATGTTTAGATAAATTCTGATTAATATCAGTCTTCAGGAGAGTAGCCAATCCGCTCGATCTCCCAACAAAGCTTAGTCGCAACACTTTCATGGCAAGGCGAATATTCCTGCAAACAAGAACAACAACAAGACAGTTTATATGGTTTCAGTTTGATAGTCTTTTGTATCAATTAAAATTCCAATTGTCACGTACCTCCAGCTTCTTAACAAGATCCTTAGCGGTAGGTGCAGAAATTATAATCTTGCGTGCAGTTGGACTGATGAAACCTTCTTCAACGGCTTTATCAATGAAAGAGAGTAAAGAGTTGTAGTATCCATCAACATTGAGTAAACCCACCTGCAGGAAAGATAATGATAATAAGCTTTCTTTGGGGTTTAACATTGTTCACCAAAGTCTGAATCTTTATAAGGATCCTTGTGATGGGTCGTTACCGGTTTGTCATGTATACCAAGCTGAGCCCAAGTTATGACCTCCAAAAGCTCTTCAAGCGTTCCATATCCACCTGCGATTTTTCAAAGCAGAAGATATTATAATCCGTAAACATTATTATTATTAATATATGGTCAATTCACGAAAATATACTTCATCTGCAGAAAATGTTCTCTGTACAAGAGGACTTATCCTCTGACTCTATTTACATAGGGACATGATTACAAACAAGCAGGTCTTATTGAAGAACAAGACTTCCTTAGATGGGCAAAACATGCTTTTTTCTGAGACTGTTTCAGGTTTTTGTCTTTTAACATGAAACAGGTAAGATAAATTAAAACTTTGGTCACAGTTACACTACACACAAGCTAAATAGAGAAGTAGCTCCCAAGTAAAAGGCAAAGAGAAAAAAGAAACAGAGATTGGTCTAATTTTCAGTGCGAGATGTGGATGTGTCAAGGCATCTGTAGTTATTATGTTCAAAACTGTGTCCATACAAGAGAACCGAAAAATCATTACAAAGCAAACCAATATACTTTTAAATTTTCTAAAATTTTAACTTGAAACAGTTGCTTTCACACTACAGCTTGAGTTTGACCAAGAAACAAAACGAGGTTTTACTTATATATTCTTCTTCCATCTTCTTTGGCAAAATCAGTCAAAAGAGTTTAAACCCTTTTCGGTGCTATTTTTTAATCAGTTTTATTCTTCTTTAATACTTGGGTTTTCCACAGTTTAAGAATTTAAAAAGCCTAAATATGATGCTAATTAGATTCTTAAACAATGCTGTCACTAGACTTGACCAGTTTAATCATTACTTGTTTGGAGAAGTGAACTTGTTGTAAGAGAGAGTACATAGAGAAAACAAAATTAACAATAAAAACAGATGGGACTTGGAACACAATTTCAATACTAACCTGGTAAAGCAATAAAAGCATCAGAGTGTCTAGCCATCTCTGCTTTTCTTTGATGCATATCAGCAACTGCTCTTACTTCTCCTACTGTTTCACCGGTCAACTGCCAAAAGAAGAGCATCCAAAATTTTAAAAAATATTAACTAATAATCTTGAAACTTTAAACTAAACTAAACTATAAAAAAAAAAAACAAAAAAGCAGCTTTAGACTGTGCTATGACCAGAAGCAATGATGGCACTGTAAGCAATTTGGCTTATTTTAAATTCATTGCAAGACTTTAGTTAAGAAGCACTTCATCTTATTTTTCTCAAATGAAACTGTTTTTTTTTTTTGGTTTCAATAAACTATAAAGGGTTGAAGACAAAGCAACCAGAGAAAACTATTGATTATCATATAAAATAGGATTATAAACATAAACAATGGTTAAAAATTTAGGGATTTGGAAAAAAAAAAGCAGTTTACAAAGAGGAATCAACAAGCAAACTTAAAAAGTTGGAACTTTCTTCCTCAGGGATTATATATATAGCAAGCGTACCTCTCTAGGCATCAGTGTCTTGGGGATAACTCTGTGGTGAAATGACAACAAAGATGAGGAAAAAGAATCTTAGTATAAATGTTTTAATCTTAACTGCATCATCCTGGTGTTCAAAAAAAAAAAAAAACTGCATCATCCTTAAAAACTCTGTTTAAGTGATAAGATGAAGAAATACCCAATAACATGACGACCACCATCATGAACAGCTTGTGAAACCAAACCCATCAAACCTATGCTTCCACCTCCATAGACCAGATCAATGTTCCTTAAAACCTAATAAAAGCAAGCAAAACATGAGTTCTTAAACTCATTACGGATAGAGTTTAAGAAATGAGCTAAGAAGAGAACCAAAACCAAACCAAGGATAATCTCTCTTTGTACTTAGCTATATCACATATTTCAAAAGAACGTTTTCAAAGTAGAAAACAGAGGAAATGCTCTACACGTTGAAAAAGACAAAAAAAAAAAAAACAAGCAGAAACATATTCACAAACATCTGGTGAACATAAACGGTAACAAGTAAAGAAAACAGAGTAGAAAAGCTAGAAGAGAAAACCAAAACATGTTATATGTAACGTAAAAATACCAATTCGTTGCCAAGATCCACAGCAGCATCTTGGTAACTACTCTTCTTGCCTTGGCTGCTTCCACAGAACACACAGATTCTTCCGAACTTTGACTTTTGCATGGTTTCAGTGTTGACCTCCATTGATTATGCGGGTAAGCTCAAGGTAAGAACAAATCTTTGCTCGAAAGAAAACAAAAAGAAGAAGGTTTGGTAATGAAATCTCTCACTTGGGTTGCTTCCTTAAAAGAACATAAACGGCAGGGTACAAATCGTACAATCGTTGAAGAAGAAGTGAAACCCAAAATTACAAAACTCGAAAGTTTTAAGAGTTTTGGTGTTTCTTTGCCTACTAATAATGTTTTCAAGTTGAGGATTGTTATTATATACTACTTGTACTTAGTACAGAGTGCGTTTTCTCGTCATGCTCTCAAATCTCAATATTCAGTTTATTTTTTTAAACAATATTTACTCTTCGGAAATAGTTTCATTATTTTAATTTTGATGGGTGAGTTTAGTTTTATTTTTGTTGTTATATTTTTGGGAGTATTTTCACACGTGAGAGATTGAAGCACGCGCGTAGCAGCCACCCCGCACATACAGTTCATGTTGGCACGCGTGGACCACTTCTTTGTGTTTTGTTTTGTTTTCCTCTTCTTGTTTTTTTTTTGTGTGTGTGTTTTCTGAAGTTCACTTATTATGAGCTTCCCTTATTTTCTTTAGGTATTAAAAATGTCTATCATCTTCTCCAAAGACTTTGGAACCCAAAAAAAAAAACAGAATCAAAATGGTTATATTCAATTGTTTATCAAAATTAAGATTAATAATGAATTAAACTCATTTTTCATCAAGTTTATATGACAACAATATATATTTACAAAAAGTTAAAGATTAAAAGAAATTACATGCATACTTGAAAACGAGATATTCCTTACAATTTATTTTCTATATTTGCTTCAAAATGATTTTAAAATTTGTCGTGCAACAGATAATGGGAAGTGACAAAGAAAACATCTTTAGATTAAAGAAACTAATTTTAAATATAAAGCTACCTCACTTTTTGATTCCCTTTTTTCAAGAACAGAACAATTTTTTCATTTTCGACAATGATTTTTTTTTTTTAATTTAAATACAACAATTTCATTGTCAACATATATCTGAACATGTAAGATGGGTCCAAACATAAACTCTCCAATATTTAAATGAAAGTGTGATCAAAACTAGTGATGAGTAAAAGAAGAGATACACATACATACAAGTAACATATGCTTACTCGTACGAACATATATGTATAATTAGGGATGATTATGTCTGGTTTATGGAGCAATGTGCCATTGATGATTGAAAATAAGAAACACAAAATGAGTTTTATATACATATATGCCCTTTTCAATACGACCAATGTAGTCTAGTCTCCCCTTGTTCTAATAAGCGCATCAAA